ACTCCACTTTCATTCAGTCGCTTCTAAAAATAAAGTCCCTGATTCACAATGCATGAATGACAATCACACTGAAAGGAATACCGCACAGACTTGTAGCCTTTCTCACTCTCTATCTTTTTCACTCTGCCTCCTCTTCGGTCCCATATCCTCTTTATCCCTCTCTCTTGTCGATCTCCTGTTCTTGCTCTCTTGTAATTCTCCCTCTTCCTCAGTCTCTCCTGTGTTGTGTATCTCATCTCATTCTAGCATTCCTGGAGCATTCTATCTCACTCTCTTCTCGCCCCTATCACTCTCGTTTCTCCCGTCTCACTTCTTTTTCCAACCTGTTCTCTCGCTCTCTGACTCCTACCCCCTTTCTCTCTTTCTCTTTCTCTCGTTATATATGTGTGTATATATACATGTACATATACATATATATATATATATATACATATATATATATGTGTGTGTGTCGTACTCTCTTGTAAGAGAGTGAAATCTCGGTTCGCCTGTTGCGCATCGAACTATTGGTGTTCCGTGTAAATAGATCTCGTGGAAATTCGAAGTGGCATTGCCACGCGCCACTCTGATCGATCGGATGGATCGATCTTGCACCGAAGGACTTGTTGCTCTGTGTGCCGGATTTTCGAATGTCACGAGCCGATATCTGCATTGGAATCAGAAAGTGTGTACATACGTGATTTTTTGAAAATACCACGATTGCCCGTTGTTATGTATCTCATTTTTATTATTTAATTCGAGGAATTGGAAAAAATAAAGGATGGATTATACATATTTTTATTTGTAAGTACACGTCTCTTTAAAAATGGCTGTTTTTTTTTAAATTATTTGTTAAGAGTAAAATTCTGAAAGAAATTTGTAAGATTTAGATAGCAAATCAAGCTATCTAAAGTATAGCGCTATCACTAACTGATAAATGTATTTTGTTCGGAGTAAACAGGTATAAATGCAATGAGATATCACAGTTATTATGTCGGTTTCAAACAATATTCATTTTAAATTGTATAATGAAATTGATGTTATATGAGAATATAATGGAATTTGTAAGTCAATACAATGTTCATCCGTCCTTCATTTTCCCAATTCAATTTATGTTTCGATGTCAAATAGATATAATTCACAAGATGGTGTTACAGAACTATTGAACAAATTGTACTATGAAGCAATTCATTCAATAGTTTAACTTTTATTTTACAGTATATAATAATAATATAGTATAAATAGTAAAAAAATTATATTTTATAATATTTATATAATAATGATAATATTTTATGCCTTTCTTATAACAAATAACATATCATATATAGTTTATAACTTTTTTTTACATGTAATTGCTTCCAAATTGCAGGAAAGTTCATAGATGAACAACGGAGATAGTTGTCGGAAGTAAGCTATAATTTGGAATTGTCTAATTGTCTCATAACGCTCCAAAGATTCACGGAAACGGGGGCGAGTAATCCTGAATATCTCATGAAACTCTTGGCCCCTCAAAGCATCCAAGGAGAACTGGTTTTAAACTCATCATCATCACCTAGCTGTTCACGATACAACATTCCAAAATAATCAAATGTCCCTGAAAACGACAAAACATCGGTAATAATCAATATATTATTTAAAACTATTTTAAAATCCACGTGTGTTTCAGGGAATTTTTAATTTCATATTTTAGTTTGAAATATTACTTAAATGTATAAAATAAAATAGACAAAATCATTAGAATAATTGCAAATTATATTTTAGATGAATCAATATATTAATCAAAGATATAACAGAAAATGGAATTTGAAAAAATGGTGAATTATTGCAGAGACCTACTTTCATCGCCCTTCTTAAAGTTGCTCACGCGCAACATCCTTGTTAGTAAGTAGATAATCCTGTAATAACAACCTACAAAGAGTAGAAAATATTTAAAATTATTTTGAAAAGAAAATTCTTAACAAAAACTAAACATTTGCAAATATTTATATAAGAAATCAAAAAAAAAAAGAGATTTAAAAAATAGAAATCTATGTTTGTCGCAATTCATAGGAAAAATTATCTCGAAAGAATTTTAATTTTTATAGGAACTTTGAACTGTTTTGTTCATAGGAAGAAAGATTTTTCATTAAAAAATTGTAATGCATTTTTTTTATTTAACATCAAAGACGATAAATACCATTTTAAGGATTTTCTTTAACAGATAAAAAATTTTAATATTAGGTAACAATTTGACATCATTTATTTCAATCACTTTAAAAAATTTTGTGAACTTTGAATAAAATACAAAAGAAAATCAATTTTTTTAAACTTTTTATTTTTAATATCTTTTTCTTTTCATAATTGTAATAATTTTGAATTCTAATCTATCAAAAAGATATGGAAGGACAACTCTATGTCTGGAGTTTCCCTTGACGAAACTCCCTCGTTATAATCCACCGCTGCGAGTATCTACTCTAAAGAGAGACTTTAGAGTGTAAGGGAGAGCTAGCTAGCAGCACCTCGAACTGCTCACAGCTAAATATATCTCTCTCTCTAGAGTTACTCAAGGTCAGAGCTCTCGGATTGGCTCACGATAAAGCGGAGCTCCATGCCCGTCCCTCGACTGTCAGACCTTATGCTTCGTCCGCGCACATTCTGCCGCACCGTGGCCCACATGTCATTTTGCGACAATATCGTATAGTAGCCGCATCGAGAACACGTGTTCGTATCGAACGAAGCAATAGTCAGTTCGTATACGAAGCGTATTTTGAGCCGCAACACGGTGCTATGCAGTTATGACTACACCTTCCGATCATTTTTCCATTGTTCTCTTTTGTTAGTCACAATTTCATGCCAGTCATGATTGTCGGATAAAAATTCTGTTCCTATTTCACATGAGTTTAAATATATCATGGAATTTTAGGCTTTTTAAATATCATGGAAAAATCATTTTATATTTATATTATATTTTATTGATAAATATTTAACAATCGTAAATTATTATTATTTTTTCAATAATTTATACATAAAACTAATATATTTATTCATTAAATAATAAAATTTGGGAAAAAAAATTCTCTATGAAAAATAAAAATATAATATTACATACATATAATTTACATACATGATGTTATTTATTATTCTATAAGACACTATATTATTATTCTATATGTGCACAGACTTCCGGATAGACAAGAAAAGAGAGTATGACCTGTTGCTGACGACAAATAATTAGCGGATCGCTCTTTGGAAGTGTCAACAGAAGGTGTAGAATCTATGAAACATATGTTCTATAATAATGCATTCGCAATGGAATCTTGGTATAGCTTTAAATATACAATAATTCTATCATAAAATAATTTTCATTTTACTTTATTCATTTTTTTTTAATACTTTCACACACTATAATATAAAATATTTTAATAATAGGAGCAGCTATTAGTAAACGACGAATATTCAATTAAATAAAAAAGAAATAACAAACAAATAAAAGAAAATATATTCAAAAATACATAGTTCGCGGCGCTTTTGAAAACCACTTATTCAATTTAGACAAGGGTATTCTGAAGCTTGACGTTGTTGATAACAGAAGTGAGCTACACTCGTTCTACAGCTGAATTTGAGGTTAGGTGATTGTCCGGGTGTGCGGTAAGCATCGATAACGGCGCGTTGCAACGTCGCGTTCGCAATATGATCTGGCAACCCTGCACCGACCGACAGTGCCGGGGTTGAATTTCAAGCGCCCGAG